ACTTCACCATTCTGATTCCTAAACAGTTTATAGTTTGCATCAAAGGATTCATCAATGATAATTGAATTAGCACAAGTGAAGCCAGATAGATTGGATGGATCTGATGAGGAGTCCTTTGCAGCAACCCATGTGGTTTTGGGGTACTGCTCAGGTTTCCAGTAAGAGCCATCTGCATTAATTTTCCTCACGAACCCAACACCCTCTTTGCTAGGGTTTCGGTTCAGAATCTGCTTCTTGAGGACATCACATAGTGTCTGATGTCCTTTGAGACTTTTGTACATCCCTGTTTCAAGCAATGTCTTCAACCTAGCATTTTCATCAGCAATAGCAGTGGTATCCTCAGCAGAGGGGTTAGTTACCACTTCAACAGTTGAAGATATTGCAACAGCAGTAGCAGTGGAACATTCAGCAACAGAAATAGCATTATCACGCTCAATGCATTTAAGGCATGGTGGTTCAAATCCTTCCTTAGCAGAACTAATCTGTTCGGCTCGAAGTGACTCGTTTTCCTTTTGAAGATCTTCATGATCCGCTCTCAACTTCTCAAGATCTTGCTTCTTCTGAAGATAATCATAGGAGAGCTTTTCATGAGTAGTTGAGAGAGTCTCAAGACGATCTTCGAGTTCCTGATACTTAACATGAAGATTTTTTATGTCTTCAATTAAGGATTCAGAACGAGTCATTTCAGCACCCAACAGATCATCGCTTCTGTCTAACAGTTTTTGAATATGTTCCATGGCCTTTTGTTGTTCAGTTGCAATTTTAGCAAGTGTTTTGTAACTGGGTTTTGAATGACAATCAGAGTCATCGTCACTAGATGTTCGATAATGAGTAGTGCGTGTGTTTACCTTGGCACCACGTGCCATGAAGCAGTAGGTGGGAGTAGAGTCGTCCTTGTCATTTGCACTGGTGATGGTGATGGAGTCATTGTCTTCAGTGTTGAAGATGGACTTGGCGACATAGGTTGTAGCCAAACTTGCAATGCCTGAATCAGACTCCTCCTCAGACTCCACCTCTGCCTCCTCAGAAGCGGACTCCTCCTCTGAATCCATTTCCTTGCCAACAAACGCACGAGCCTTGCCAGATGAACTCTTCTTGTGTAATGAAGACTTTGAGGAAGATTTGGACGAAGACTTTGAGTATTTCTTCGTCTTCTTATCGTCAGAGTCATATTCCTTGCTCTTCTTCTTCTTTCTGTTCTCATTGTCCCATTGTGGACACTCAGAGATGAAGTGTCCAGTTTTCTTGCACTTGTGACAAGTTTTCCTCTTGTAGTCATGCGCAGAGGCTTCATCATTCCTTGAGCTTGATCGTGAAGACTTTCTGAAGCCTTTCTTCTTGGTGAATCTCTGGAACTTCTTCACTAGCATTGCAAGTTCCCGTCCAATGTCTTCAGGATCATCAGAACTGCTGTCAGATTCTTCTTCAGATGATGACACAACTTTTGCCTTCAGGGCACGGGTTCGCCCATAGTTTGGACCGTCGATATCTCTTTTCTCAGAAAGCTGAAACTCATGTGTGTTGAGCCTCTCAAGTATGTCAGACGGATCGAGTGTCTTGAAGTCTGGACGTTCTTGAATCATCAGGGCTAGGATGTCAAATGAACTGTCAAGTGATCTTAGCAGCGTCTTGACGATTTCATGTTTGGTGATCTCAGTGGCCCCGAGGGCTTGAAGCTCATTTGTGATGTCAGTGAGCCGGTCAAATGTGTGCTGGACATTCTCATTGTCATTTCGCTTGAAGCGGTTGAAGAGATTGCGAAGAACACTGATTCTCTGATCTCTCTGGGTTGAGATGCCTTCATTGACCTTGGAGAGCCAGTCCCAGACCAGCTTGGATGTCTTCAAGGCACTCACACGGCCGTACTGTCCCTTGGTCAGATGACCACAGATAATATTCTTGGCAGTGGAGTCCAGTTGAGTGAACTTCTTGACATCAGCCGCAGTGACACCTTCTCCAGCCTTGGGAACGCCGTTTTCGACGACATACCATAGGTCGACGTCAATGGCTTCAAGATGCATGCGCATCTTATTCTTCCAGTAGGGATATTCAGTTCCATCGAAGACGGGGCACGCAGCGGAGACTTTAATTATCCCTGCAGTCGACATAGCTAAAACTCCAGGTGGTTAAACCGAATCACACAGAACAAGGGAGCACCTTGCTCTGATACCAATTGAAAGTGCGTTATATCGACTAGAGGGGGGGTGAATAGGCGATTTTTATGAAAGTCTTCAAAACGCGGAAGTTATGAAGACAAACAGAGTGAACAAGCCTATCACTATGCAGCGGAAGGTAGATTACACAACGCAAGCCATAGTCAAATATACAATACAGTGAAAGCACAGAGTCAAATAGTTTCAGTGTAATGAGGATCAGGTTGGAAGAAGTTATGAAGCCAAACAGATCATACAGTCAGGTTGTGAAGACAGAAGATTAAGCAGGCATGCAATAGCTTCACAATGTGCACTGGTAAGTAAAGGATGAAGATGAAACCAGTGACACGTTGAAGACAATGATGTGTTGGACCAGTTCCAGTTGCTGTGACAACTGTACGTCTGGTTGGAGCGGCTAGGTATTTAAACCAAAGGACACACAGTCCCGGACACCCAGTCCTGAACACGCAGCTCAGGACACCCAGTCCTCACCGTTTTCTCCTTGAGCTAAGGTCACACAGATCCCGCCCAATCACTCTGGTAAGTCTTCAAGGTAGACTCCCAAACCTTCACAGACTTCGTTCACCGGCAATCCACAATTCCTCTTGGATGCTCAGAACGCGACGCCTAACCGTCTGGAGGATGCACAGTCCTCAAGTGTAATAAGTCTTCAGATCACTCAGACAAGAAGACTTAAGTGATGCCCAATTACTCTGGCTCTGGGTGGTTAGGGCTTTTCTCCTCACTAAGGATTTTCTCTCAAAGGCTTCGAGGTGGGTTGCTCTCAAACGACAAAAGCCGTGCACTGAAATCTGAGCAGCCAACCGTTTATGGTTGTGGGGGTGGACTATTTATAGCCACTTGGCAACCCTGACCTGATTTGTCCGAAATGACCCTGGGTCACTAAGGAACTGACACGTGTACTAACGGTCGGATTTTGAACTCTCACGGCAACTTTACCTGGGCTGCAAGTAAAGCTGACTTGTCTGACTCTGGACAAGATTTTCTCTCATTGTCTTCACTCGAAGACATAGGATTTGAATTAGGCATCACTTCAGTCATCCTGACTGGTTCTCTTGGACCCCACTTAACAGTACGGTGGTTCCTATGACACAACATGAATAAGTAAAACTACGAAGGATCTAAGTCTTCGAGTTCCAAAGGCTTCATGGGGAGTCTTCATATGTCATTGTCTTCGACATGAATGTCTTCATGAACCACCATTGTCTTCAATGTCTTCATACATTTTTGGGGGTCATCTCTGGTAGCTAAACCGAATCAATGAGGGACTTCTACCTGTGTTATCCTGTAATTCTCACAAACACATTAGTCCCTCAACTAGGTTTGTCGTCAATACTCCAAAACCAACTAGGAGTGGCACTAGATGCACTTACACTACTATTGATGGCGGACGACGAGTGAAAAGTGGCGGTGACGACAGACGGGAGGGGGGAACTGTGGATTTGTAGGGTTTCGGTGCCGGCGATCGGCTTAAACAGTCGGGCCAGGGCACTACGCAGCCCGCCGGAGCGGCGCCACGCATCGACGGAGAAGACAAGTTTCGTGCCGACAGGTTTTCGAGCGATTCTGTGTGGGACCCCATTGTCAGTCCGACATGACGGACGCGCCCGGTCCTTCCCATATCCTCCCATATTTGGACCGGAAAATGAGGGGCGTCTGCCTAGGTCGGGTTTTTCTGACCGGTCTTTGATTGACTGGGCTGTTCATCCGAACGTTTGAGGTGAGTTTGGGGCGCCGGAACGTAGATGGTATAAAGGAGGAGTCCAGTCCTGCGCTGTGCTGGAGAAGTAGCAGCCAGGCAGGCGTACAGCGCCCAGGCCACCTCGTTTTCCTCAAGGTGGGGGGAGCCGAGGTTGGCATGTGTGATGACGCGATTATGTACTTGGCACGATACCGGATCCTTCTCTTTTGTAAAGCAAGTATCTTCACGATCGACCAACCGAATATACATGCTGGCTGTCACGCGACTACCCAATTGCACTAGTTTATAGAAGAAGTATCTGGAAGCAGGCAGCTAGCAACCACAAGGCAACCCTGCGCCGCCGTCATGCCACTCCGGCCGGCCGCCGGCCGCCGCTAGCTGCCAAGTGCACGATATAATCATGCCATCTCTACAATCATCCTTGCTCGCCGCTCGGGTCTCCAGCCTATCACAGCCGGGTCAAAGCTGCCCCACGTTGACAGCTAGCCCAAGGTCCCGGAATCGCACGACCCGGTCCCGCTCCCAGCTGCCCATGGCGGAATCGCTCGCCCGGTGAAGAAGACGACGACGGCGACCAGTTCCTTCGTTTCACCTTCTTCACCGCCCTGGCCTGGCCGACGCGGTGAAATGCTTCCTCTCCACGTGCATGCGCGGCGCGGCGCGGCATGGCGGGCGTCCAAGTTGCCATGTGCTCATCTGCATTCATTTCATATCGTCCACTCCACCACACCACCTGCGTCGTCTTCTTGGCCTGGCTGCTCTGTTCCTCCCTCCTCTGATTGCGCACCAGCTACCTGCTGGTAGCTGCCCCAGTTGCATCCATCCCTCCCGTCCTGCTCTCCTCTTTAAAACACCCAGCCCAGCGTAGCCACCATATCTCGCAGCTTGTGGCCGCAGACTCCCTACGATTTTTGGTCGGTTCGGTCGGGTTGCTCCAAGAGCAGTCGCGAGCTCCGTCGCCGCATTGATGAATGCCGAAGCTATAGCGGCTCTCCGTCGTCGCTCTTCCCAGGTTGGCGCTCAGCGCACGCACTGCCTCCGGGACACGGACTCTCGATCGCCCGGCGACTGATCCCGTAGTTCTTGGTTTGCGTGCGTGCAGGGATGCCACGGTCGCCCGGATCATGGCATTGCCAACCGCGGTCGTAGCCGGCGTTGCCGCCTCCGTCGCCGCGCTGGTGCTGCTGGCGGTCGCCGCCGCGCTCTGCTGGTGGCGGCTCGGGGCGCGCCGTAGCCGGACCTCCGACACCGCCTCCGACGAAACTCCCCCCACGCTAGGTAAGTAACTAACACCGGCGAAGGAGCTCGTAGCAAGTCATGCCGCTGCCGGCGTGCTTCATGCGCTGCAATTGACGTTTTGTATGGTTTGGCCTCAGCGGAGTGGGGCAGGTGCGGCCGGACGTCGTCTGCGCCGGACTACCACGGCGCCAGGCGGTTCACGCTGGAGGAGATGTCCCACGCCACCAAGAACTTCAGCGACGCCAACCTCGTGGGCGCCGGCACCTTCGGCAAGGTCTACATGGGCCTCCTGCTCGACGGCACCGTCGTCGCCATCAAGCGCCGCGTCGGCGCGCCGCGCCAGGACTTCGTCGACGAGGTACCCGAAACCATCTGAAACTCTGCTACTTCATGAACGGTCACTTAGTTTCTGAAGTGCCAGATTTTCGTTTCAACAAGGAAGTAACTGCCTCTGTACTGACGCGAGAGTTCGTGAAATGTATTTTTGACTGAATTCGCCATTCGCCTGGGCTGCAGGTGAGGAGGCAGTCGGAGATCTGGCACCGGAACGTGGTGACCCTCATCGGCTACTGCCAGGACGGGGGTCTGCAGATGCTCGTCTTCGAGCACCTGCCCAACGGCAGCGTCTGCGGCCATCTATACGGTAATTTGCAGTCGCACGGCTCCATTTCCGTCAGATCATTTCCTCCAACCAGCAAACAGCTGAATGCTGATGCGCAGACCCTACATCAATTTCCCAGATAGCGGCAAGGAGTCGATGACAAGGCTGGAGTTCAAGCAGAGGCTCTCGATCGCCATCGGAGCGGCCAAAGGTGGTGGCAACACAAAACTTATTACACAATGCACTGTGCTTGTTTCAGAAACAGAGTACCTGAACTCTGAACTGCAATGCAGGCCTGGACCATCTGCACAGCCTGGCGCCTCCGTTGATCCACAAGGGCTTCAAGACGAGCAACGTGCTGGTGGACGAGAACTTCATCGCCAAGGTGTCCGACGCCGGAGTCGACCGGCTGCTCAGAGGGCTCGAGGACCCCGGCTCGCCGCTGAATGGGTTCCGTTCGGGCATATACCAGGATCCAGAGTAAGCCTGTCTGAAAACTCTGAACCCTGAACATCATTCTGCAGTTTATGTCTGCTGCGATCAACCCCGCTCTTATCTGACCGTTACGCATGCGTCCTCAGGGCACATTCCCTGGCACAGCTCTCTGCGAGCAGCGACGTGTACAGCTTTGGGGTTTTCCTTCTGGAGCTCATCACCGGCAGGGAGGCCGCCACCTTGGTTTCTCCGGAATCAACCGAATCTCTCGCTCATTGGGTAATTAACTAGTCAGTGATACCAATTTCAGTGTATTTTCATTCCAACTAAAAACTAATATCGAAGATTTCTTATGACAAAAGTAATATTAGTTGAAGTTTCATCCAAAATTAAGCTAAATCCAGCTACATTATATTGACACCAGTTTCTTACTGAATGTGTCAGTTGGAGACGTCGGGAGACGAGGTGGCGGACCCGAGGCTCGGCGGCAGCTTCACCTCGGAGGGCATGAAGGAGCTGGTTGGCCTGACGATGCAGTGCCTGAGCCCGTCGGCGGTGAGGAGGCGGCCCAAGATGCGGCTGGTCGCGGCGGAGCTCGACCGCATCCTGGAGAAGGAGATGACCCTGACGACGGTCATGGGGGATGGCACGGCCATCATCACCCTTGGGAGCCAGCTCTTCACGTCATGATCATCCAATATTTGTTACCACAAAATGGATATTTTTGTGTTTCGCGATTGCTAAACTTTAGTTGCCTGAAAATCAATTGAGCATCAATTGAATTCCCCTAGCATCGAGCTGGAAATCAAGACGGCGTGACGTCGTCGACGGAGGGGAGTTCAAGGGTTGACTGATATGGGTGTGGTAGAGGAGGACTTCACCGGAGCAAAAAAGGGGGAAGGATGGTTGCAGGGATGACCGGGGTGACGGCCAATGGACCGGCATAGGAGGCGATTCAGGCAGGGCGGGACGATGAGGCGACATAGGCTGAAGGTGGCGGGTACCGGCGGTTAGGCCAATGAAGGCGGGTGGCTCGACAATGGAAGCATTTGTCAGCAATGGGGACGAAGGGGAAATCGACCAATGTATGTACTTTTTTCAGGCAACTGGCATTTAGCCGGTCCATTTTG